ATCAAATGTCATTCATTCCATTATTATTCATTTCAGACTGTGAGTAACTCCAAAAATATGCCAATTATACTATGTAGAAATTTTGTGAACGCAACTCCTCTTAAACCGGATGGCAGATTTTGCTTAAACTTCCAGGGATTAACAACCTTAATGTGTAGATGGAATGTGTAATGTGTAAAGGAAGGAATTTTTGCTGCGACCAAATTTAACAGAATTATGGCCCTTTGTTAATTTTAAGTTTTCAACTTGTGGCACATGTAGTCCAAAAAATGTTTGACCTAGAGTCATAAGATTGACAGAACAGTGGCGTGTGGGGGCATCTGTGTCCTATGGACACATTTCTAGTTTTATCAATTTCTCCAGAGGAGTTTATCTTAATTATTTTTTTCCCTTTTGACAGCTTTCATAATCTGCCTCTCCCTATTTTTTTCCTACAAGAGAGACAACTTCTTGCAACCACTATTGTCAAACTGCAATTGTTGCACCAGGTGCCAATAGCTTGAACCCAATAATTATGTGGAGTAGAATTCTCAGTAACAACATCCTGAATCAAATTTTCATTAAAGATAGTAGAAATTTAAGAGAGGGAGCAATGAAACTACATGTATATGAAAATAAAAGGCTATGTATGATCAAATTTGTTTATGAGAAATAATAATTGTAACATCATTCAATTCACCTGGAGCAGATAATTAAGTAAGAGTAAAAGTGTTAAGAAATTATATAATTTGATATACCATATTGTTTCCATTTAACAGTCCCTCCCTTCTAATTAGCCCCCACCCCCCATCCATCCTTACACACATTTATACATTTTGTGGAAGAAAAATACTCTGCCTTAATTCTTTTTCTTTGACAATTATATGAAACAATTTCTCTAAATATAAAATGAATTAACCTTTAGAAAAGCCAAAGGCCACTTTATAGAATTCACGATAAACGTTATATAAGTTTTTCTCAATTATCTTCTGCATATATAATCACATATTGACAAGGATCATATTTTCAAAACTTTTGTCCCCCTTGAATGTAGAATTTCATGTAAAACTTAATTATTTATTTACCAAACTGTTTTATTACTGATAGGATTTTATTTCAAAATTGAAGTAATACTTACTAACTAATTGTCTTTATTTGACAGTTACTGGCACCTATATGAGTGTAAGAATTATACCAATAAAACTTTAAAGAAATTTAAACTTTGAATAGATGTTCCTCATTAACATCTTACAACAAGGATGATGATTCTGTTTAAGTCTGGAACATAATTTTGAAAGATTTAACCCCCTTTAAACTTAAATTTTAAAGAAAATGGCTTTTTTTCTTTCGAATTTATTGTTTTATTTTATTTATTTAGTTAAGAATCTCTGTTTTGATAGTTTTTGCTATATATTGTTTAGTCTTATGATATAAAAGTTTAAAGCAGCTTGCCTTCACATTCCTGATAATTTTCATGAAAATTTTGAAAGTGAAGTAAAATATTGTGAAGTGAACAAAAAAAGTAATTTACTTATTGCAAATTGTGCTAATTCAATTCATCAACGTAAATTAATTTTACCCCCCAAAAAGGACCTGATGGTGGTATAGATACTGTAAAATCAGTCGTATATCGTACATAACATGTAAATTATTACTTGAACCTTTTTACTTTTCTTCAAATCTTATATAGTACATGTATTTTTCTCAAATCTGATTTTTGTGTTGCCTTGAAAAAGGCGACATATAGGGGTTACTTTTGTCGGCGGCATCGTTGTCGTTGTCGGCGTCGTCGGTGTCGGCGTCCCCTAAAGCTTGTCCGGAGCATAAGTCAGTCATTATAAGTCGGATTGACTTCAAACTTGGTATGCATGCTTCTCATAATGACCCAAAGTGCAGTGCACATGAACCAGTACTCTGTACTCCTTATTTTTTGAGTTATTGCCCTTTGTTTATTTTCATACTTTATTTTTGTCCAGGCCATTTCTCCTAAAGTATAAAAGCTATGGACTTGAAACTTCATAGGATGATAGATCTCATTAAGAAGAAGTGCAGTGCACAAGAACTGGTACTCTGCATTTCTTATTTTTTGAGTTAATGCCCTTTGTTAATTTTCATACTTTATTTTTGTCCAGGCCATTTCTCCTAAAGTATAAAAGCTATGGACTTGAAACTTCATAGGATGATAGATCTCATTAAGAAGAAGTGCAGTGCACAAGAACTGGTACTCTGCATTTCTTATTTTTTGAGTTAATGCCCTTTGTTAATTTTCATACTTTATTTTTGTCCAGGCCTTTTCTCCTAAAGTATAAAAGCTATGGACATGAAACTTCATAGGGTGATAGATCTCATTAAGAAGAAGTGCAGTGCTTAAGAACTGGTACTCTGCATTTCTTATTATCCCCTGCCGATGGAATCGGGAGGGGGATATAGTTTTGGCGTTGTCCGTCCGTCCATCCGTCCGTCCGAATTTCGTTTCCGGAGTAGTTCTCTGCAACTAATGGCTGGAATTCAACGAAACTTTATGGGAATGTTGATCAGCATGTGAAGTTCTGCACCTGGGTATTTTCGTCTTGATATTTTTAGTATTTTTAGAGTTATTGCCCTTGACTCAGTAAAATTTTGTCCGAATTTCGTTTCCGGAGTAGTTCTCTGCAACTAATGACTGGAATTCAACGAAACTTTATGGGAATGTTGATCAGCATGTGAAGTTGTGCACCTGGGTATTTTCGTCTGGATATTTTTAGTATTTTTAGAGTAATTGCCCTTGACTTAGTAAAATTTTGTAATTTTCAACTTGTGTCGCATGTAACTCAAAAAGTATTTGACCTAGAGTCATGAAACTTTACAGGAATGTTGATCAGTATGTGTAGTTGTGCACCTGGGTATTTTCGTCTGGATATTTTCGTCAGGATATTTTTAGTATTTTTAGAGTTATTGCCCTTGACTCATTAAAATTTTGTCCGAATTTCGTTTCCGGAGTAGTTCTCTGCAACTAATGGCTGGAATTCAACGAAACTTTATGGGAATGTTGATCAGCATGTGAAGTTGTGCACCTGGGTATTTTCGTCTGGATATTTTTAGTATTTTTAGAGTTATTGCCCTTGACTTAGTAAAATTTTGTAATTTTCAACTTGTGTCGCATGTAACTCAAAAAGTATTTGACCTAGAGTCATGAAACTTTACAGGAATGTTGATCAGTATGTGTAGTTGTGCACCTGGGTATTTTCGTCTGGATATTTTTAGTATTTTTAGAGTTATTGCCCTGGACTTAGTAAAATTTTGAAATTTTCAATCACAATCATCAGTCACACGGGGCCAGAAAAGGAGTTTCAAAAATGCAAAATTAAAAAATCTTGTCTGACAGTACAAGGCCTAGAGCTTTGATATTTGGTATATGATATAACATATAGGTCCTCTGCCAAAATTGTTCAAATTTTAGCCCTGGGGTCAAAATTTGCCCCACTCCAGGGGGTCATAGATTTTCCTTATATGTATATAGTGAAAACTTAAAAATTCTTCTTGTTTGAAGGTACAAGGCTTCAAGTTCAAAGAATTTTACAGTTTATGCCATGATTAATATATAAATAAAGCCTTATGTCTTCAGTTGTTGTGTTAATAATAACCAGTACTCGGCGGGGGATATAAATTCAACGAATTTGCTTGTTTTTTGAGTTATTGCCCTTTGTTAATTTTCATACTTTATTTTTGTCCAGGCCATTTCTCATAGATTATATAAAAGCTTTAGACTTGAAACTTATTAGGATGATAGATCTTTTGATAAGAAGTGCAGTGCACAGAAACTGCTGATCTGCATTTCTTATTTTTTGAGTTATTGCCCTTTGTTGATTTTCAAATTTCATTTTTGTCTTTGCCATTTCTCTTAAACTATATTGTTCACAAGGCGACACATCCGACTCGCGGAGTTCTAGTCTTGAAATAATTTTGGTTCATCTAAAGGCATGTAGCTTTAACATTGTACAGAACATTTTATTTTCCTTTAGGTCAATTTTTCACCATTTTAAAGATCATTCTAGCTTTAAGGCACATTATGCCACAGAAATCCATATTATGAAATCCTTTAGAAATGTCAAACATGATCTGTGTTTAATAATATTTTAATAATGAATTTAGAGTATGTTAGATGTTTAAGAGCTGAAGAAAGTAGCACCTTCAGGGCAGTTAATGTGTTGTAAAGGTAGCAAATGTAAACAAAGTAGTATTTTGACTTCCATACAAAATACTAATTCATTATAATTGTACCAATTGCCAACAAAGCAAAAGAATCTTTTATAAATTATAACAAATGAGTATTTTTGGTAGCATTTAGATACCAAAAATTTAAAGTTTTTGTGAAAATAAAATGATAGCATTTCTGAGGCATAATGGGCCTTTAATAATGTTATTTAGATATAAATAGTTTACAACATTCATCAATGTTATCAGTAATTTTCATGTTAAACAATGAAATCCTATTATCACATGATTTGTTTATAAATATGATAAGTTACATTATCTTGTTATGACTGTAATTTGTTGTTAATATGATAAACGTGTATAATTTTAATGCTCATATATTTTAGAATGTTTTAGATTTATATGGTAAAATCAAAGAAAAGTGAAAAAAATAAAAGTTTTGAAAGGGATATTAAAGTATTTGTTTTAAGTGTGACAAACTAGTGAGATTGATAAGGTAACCAGTGATATTTAGTGCAGTGAATTATGTTTAGTATGAATTCTGTTTTGATCTAGTTTCTTCTTGCCCCCTAATAGCTGAATAGGGAAAGCATCAGATAAATAATCAAGGGGTCACTGGTCGATCCCAAGACGAGGCCAATTAAACTGTGACAATAGATCTCAGACAGTGAGTCTTAAATGGTCATTTGTTTCTCACAAAAATTTATAAAACAGTATTGTTCTTGGTAAATTCTTGGTCTCATGGTTACTGGTTAGTTATCCAGGCAAGTTTTCTAGGGTGGACTGACAGCCAATATATGACCAAGGATGTGTTGAAATTGGTGAGAATTCTATGGGATTATAGATTAGAATTTAGTATACTACCAAGGACATCAGGTTGGTGTTTCTTCTTGTGTACATGCTTATGTTTAAAATAATGTTTGAAAGGAAACAGGTCTACCATTACAAGTAAAGCTCAACCCTTAACCGGCTGAATTAAACAAATGTGTAATAGATTTGCCCAGCTTTGAATTTTGGAACAGTCCATTCCAAAGCTAAGGGGATTTCAGTATCAGTGAACACTGAATACAAAAAATTGAGCTACCAACAGAATAGAACCTGGTCCGATTTCAAAATGGCTTAAATCACTACCTTTTTCAAACTGGAATGTCTGCACGAGCCTTTACCTTTGAATAGACCATTATTAAATCGTACAGGTTTTTCAAATTGTTTAAGGAAATTTGCTACCTCAATTGATCAAACAATGTGACTAAAGAACAAAGTGTACAAGTTAATGAATACTGAATTTTGATTAAATACAAATGTATAATTATGGGCTCGAGGCCTTAGTACCAAATATACTTTGAATGGGTGTATGTTGAATTTACATAAAGTTTGAATAAATTAGATGCCCATTGTCACAACATAGACTATGGCAGATCTGAGGGAACATACCTTACTGCTGGACAAGACGGATCATGATAACCAAGAGTATACTAATCTTGGTTATGGTAAGTTACTTTTATTTAATTGATCATTTTATTTCTACATAAATTTATATTGATAATTTTATCCAGCTTTACATTTCACATTTCCCTTCATATATTCCCCTGTCAAACAGACAGGGCATTTTAGTACATAATATTACACTATATAATTATGTAGAGCATAAATAAGGAATGCTTACATTGTCATATGACATCAGATATGACATTAATAAAACAAATGAAGTCATGAAAATAACATCTACACTCAATTTAGTTAAACACATTTTTATCAATTCTCTTTTTTTATTAGCATGTTAGAATGGAAATAGATATTTTCTTGGCATTAATTATTATGATGCTTGGTTTATCGTTCAAAAGCTTTGTAATTAATCACTGGGACATATCAACCTGCATGATTATATTCCTGCGCATTTGACTTCCAACTGTGCATTATTCTACAACAGTTTCTATGCACTTAAAATTGATATCTATTTCCTAAATAGATAATGACAATTGTTTTACTGTTATAGGCCTTTCATTCATCAGCATATCTTTACCAATGTCATTTGACCATAACATTGTAGAAGTATCCTAAAATCAAAACAAAAGATCATTTCATTTATTAATTACACTGATTAATTACAATCATGTCACCTTGTGACTGAGGGGTTGCCTTTAATGGTTGAGGCATCAGAAGTGCAGCCACTATTTATATCCCTGTTTGATCATAAGAGGCGATTAAATAGGTTTGAATTCATGCATCTCTTAGCTGGTGGGTTGGTTTTTACCCCTGGTGTTGCTTCAATGAAGATTGTAACACCTGAGGTTAGCCAAAATCATCTTTTCTGTTTCGGAGCCATATGACCTAAACTGTGTTGGTGTGCCGTAAAACCAAAAGAAACAATCATAATGTTTTATAATTTGCCATTTCACATGATTAAATAACTTTCTTTGGCTTCTGTTTGTCTTAAAAGAATACTTTCCCTATTACAAGATTGATTCCATATATACATGTAGTAACACCTTGTGGGATTAAATGATGCAGATGTAATTTTAAAAAAAGGAGACAGCTTTAAAGGCATAATAATTATGTCCATAAACAATATTGCCAATATAATATAATGTAGTCGAGTTTTATTTATGCACAGGGAGCAGAAAAGAGTCAACAAGCAGTTTTAGCAGTATACACGTAGAGCATAGATTAACCCTAGATGAGTTGTTATACAGAATTCAGTTTGCTTTCTTGAATAAAGGGTGAGTTATTAAAATTATATTCATAAAAAGGTCAAAGTAAGGTTAGGTAAACCAGTGTAACAAATTTATTCATAAACCAATTGACTGTTCCAAATTCATAGCTCAGCTAATCCATGGTTAAAGGTAGTGTGTTGCCTCATTGTCAGTGTGGAAATTTTGCTAGAGTTCTTGCACTGAGCACTGCATTGAAATAATGCAATGGATTACTTTTGCATGATGAATCTTAAAATTCAATAATTTCTGTAAAATCTCAGCATGTTAATAATAGGAAGAGAATCTTGTGGCAATATGTTTTTCATACTGTTTTTATTTGGGGGAAAAATGCCTTTCTTTTTACAACATTTACTATGCTCCTGAAAGACTTGTTTCATATTCGATCACAGTTATTGTAAAACATCTTTATAATTAAAAAAAAATTACTTGAAATTGTGGCATGGCTGAGTGGTTTACACGTCGGACGTCAATCTAAGTCATGCTGACCAAATTGGTTCAAACCTAGTCAGCAGCATGTTGTTTCCTTGAGTAAGAAACTTAACTATGGAACGCCGTGACTGTCTTATGTAATCAATGTTTTTGTTATCTTGTGAAACGATGATATTATTTTGTCGTATGAGCATGTTAACATGTGCAGTTTACATCATGTCTTGTCAAAGGAACATGCTTGCATGTACAAACAGCATGTTAACTTGTCAAATTATTATGATGACATGTGCAGACAACATGCTAACTTGTCAAAGTATCGTGATGACTTGTGCAAATGACATGGTAACTTGTCAAAGTATAATGATGACTTGTGCAAATGACATGGTAACTTGTCAAAGTATAATGATGACTTGTGCAAATGACATGGTAACTTGTCAAAATGTAATGATGACTTGTGCAAACGACATGTTAACTTGTCGAATTATTGTGATGACATGTGCAAACAGCATGTTAACTTGTCAAAATGTCATGATGACTTGTGCAAACGCCATGTTAACTTGTCAAAGTATAATGATGACTTGTGCAAACGACATGTTAACTTGTCGAATTATCGTGATGACATGTGCAAACAGCATGTTAACTTGTCAAAGTATCATGATGACTTGTGCAAACAGCATGTTAACATGTCAAATAACCATGATGACTTGTGAAGACAACATGTGAACTTGTCAAAGAATCGTGATGACTTGTGCAAATGACATGTTATCTTGTATCATGCTGACATGTCAAAACGTACTGTTAACTTGTCAAAGTATTATGATAACTTGTGCAAATGCCATGCTAACATGTCAAAATTCCATGATGACATGTGCAAACAGCATGTTAACTTGTCAAAATGTCATGATGACTTGTGCAAACGACATGTTAACTTGTCCAAGTATAATGATGACTTGTGCAAATGCCATGCTAACTTGTCAAAATTTCATGATGACATGTGCAAACAGTATGATAACTTGTCAAATCATCGTGATAACATGTGCAAACAACATGCTAACTTGTCCAAGTATCATGTTAACTTGTCAAAATTTCATGATGACATGTGCAAACAACATGTTAACTTGTCAAGGTATCGTGATAACATGTGCAAATGCCATGTTAACTTGTCAAAATATCATGATGACTTGTGCAAACGACATGTTAACTTGTCAAATTATCATGATGACTTGTGCAGACAACATGTTAATTTGTCAAAAAATCGTGATGACTTGTGCAAAACACGTTAACTTGTTAAGGTATTATGAGCATGTCATCACAATAATTCGACAAGTTAACATGCTGTTTGCACATGTCATCATGAAATTTTGACAAGTTAACACGTTGTTTACACAAGTCATCATGATATTTTGACAAGTTAACATGTCGTTTGCACAAGTCATCATGATACTTTGACAAGTTAACATGTTGTCTGCACATGTCATAATGATTATTCGACAAGTTAACATGCTGTTTGAACAAGTCAGCATTGTCTTTAGACAAGATATGATGTAAATTGCACATGTTAATATGCTTAAATGACAAAATAGTATCATCATTTCACAAGATAGCAAAAACATTGATAGCATAAGACAGTCAAGGCGTTCCATACTTAACAGTCATTGCTAAGTACTGGTATATATTTTGAGAATGTTTCTATATGAGCTTATAGCTTCCAACACAAACTAAAATATTTCTGTATAAAATATAAATCATAACATTTTTGATTTGTGTCTAGGTATAATGTAGAGGCAGACATACAGCTGTTATTACAGGAATGTGATGAAGATGATATAGATATATTGTTACAGGGTCTAAACTCTTACCCACTGAAAATACAACAAAAACTAGAAATATCAAGGTAAAGTTCATTTGCCCTAATCGATAAAAGAACCTTCTGGTCATATTGAAAACAATATAAAGTGTTGTTATGTATATCTAGCCATAAAAGGGGGCATCTCTGGCCGAATGGTGTAAAGGTCATTGACTTAAATGGACTTGCCACTCACACCTGTGGGCTCAAACCCTGACTGGGACTTTGGATACTTTCATGTGAAGATGCGATCCAGCTAGCGTAAAGGAACATTCATGATTGGTGGTTCTACTTAGTGCCTTAAATGGCCACCAGTATAACTGGAATGTTGCTGTATGACCTATACTGTGTTGGTGTCTTAAAACTCAACAAAAAAATAATCTAGCCGTAAAGAAAAATGCTGTAACGGGTTCACAGTAGATAAGCTAATTCACTGTACCTTGTCTTGGGAGCCTTTTACTATTCAATGCATACCATTTCTTGCAATTATTAACACCTGTTACTTCCAGTCCTTGTTAAATCTTTCAATGGAGCCTATTTATTTTAATGTGTGGTAACTGGATGTAGATTTGTTTATACACTTCAGGTGTATACATGTTTGTCTTTTTAGCGAGATTAAGTAAGATTAAAATCAATGTTTTTTTTCTTCTAATCAGAAATGATGTTTGAAACATTAATTTTCTAAATATTGCAGGTTATTACGCAGAGAGGGAAATATGAAAATTAAATATAGGAGAGGAAAAGACCAAAAAATGCAAAAGGTACTTTATATTTTCAACATCTTTTTGCTTGGGTAGCCAAGTGGGTTACAATTGTCTGCTGATTTTTTCTTCATTTATTTAAATCCCCACTTCTACATGAACTCTTAGCTTAAGCATTTGTATTTAAGAAATATTGAAGCATATATAAGTATGAAACATGTTTCCTTGAACATGCCAGTACTGGTATCATTTGAGAAAATCTGGTCATAATCCAAGTAGGGTTTGAACGATTGATCCTTACCACTAGGTCACTTCTCCTCTTACAGAACATTTTTTATTTAAAGAAGCTATGCAACAAGTCTTTTGATGACAGAAGGGCATCTGAGAGGTCTTCCTCCACCAATATTACTCGAAAGTAGAAATACAAATAAATCTTGACATATAACTGTTTTTGGATTACTTTACAGAGAAAAGGTGCTGACAGTGTTTTGGCTATGTTTGCACTGTGGGAAGAAACAATTAAAAAGATTTCTGGTTAGTTTTAAATCAGTTATTGTTAAATGTGTAGTGACTGTTCATATGTTTGACTTTCTTTCTTAATTGCACAAGGTATGTTAAATCATAAGAATATTGACGTAATATGAGCCGCGCCATGACAAAACCAACATAATGAGTTCGTGACCAGCATGGATCCAGACCAGCCTGCGCAGTCAGATCAGGATCCATGCTGTTCACTAACATACACTATAACAAGTAGAGAAACTGATAACGAACAGCATGGATCCTGATCAGACTGCGCCGATGCGCAGACTGGTCTGGATCCATGCTGGTTGCAAACCCATTATTTTGGTTTTGTCATGGCGTGGCTCATCTACTAAATGTTTTAATCTTTATTTAGCAATACAATATGTCTCTGGGGACTTGAAACTAACTTATTTACTATAGAATATCTTCAGTAAGTTTAGAATTTAAAAAAACATGTGTAAAAAGTGTTCAGGGCATTAGGACCTTTGTATGACTGCAATAGAACAAATTTGCTGATGAAATTTAGGACTTGTGTGTCAGGCCGATAATAAATTTTGTTGAAATTTAGTCCAGTATTAGGACTTGTGTGTCAGGCAAAATTTACTGATCAAAATTTGTTGAAATTTAGTCCTAAATTAGGACTTGTGTGTCGGTCAAAATTTACTAATACAATTTTGCTCTTCAGAAATTGCATACAGACAGAAATACTCTGTTGTTTTAGTTAACCTTTTCATTTAAAACAATGTCTGAAGATATGTTTCAGGACATCTATGTTTTCGGATGGTGCCATTTTGTCTGTCTATAGACAATTTATTTCAGCATAATACATGTTATAAATTTTGAAGGATATCATTACTTGAATGTATACATGTATATGGCATGAAAATAAGAAAATTATGATTATAAATGATATATACTAGGACGAAAAAGAAACGCCGGGTACATAAAATATGCAACACATATTTTATTGCTTGGCCTAAAATAATGAAAATCGGTCAGATTTATGTGTTGTTCGCTGTCGAACGGTACACACGTTTAAAACAGTAACATACACCCACTAGATTGGCCAGCATTCAGTCCAGATTTGTCCCCAATTGAACATTTGTGGGACGAACTGGATAGGAGGGAAAGGAGACGTCCAAATGCCCCCACTAATCATGTCCAGCTCACACATGCCTTGCATGAAGAATGGAATAACATCCCCATGGCCATGATTAACACCCTGGTGAATTCCATGCAGAGACGGATCAGGGCTGCCACAGCTGTGCATGGAGGACACACAAGATACTGATATGTCCGGCCGTGTTTCGCAAAACAAGAAGGGTCATCGTTAAAAGGGGGTATTTTTTCACATAATCAGCATCGGAAATCGATTGAAACTTCAACAGCTGGTTCCATACAGATGACATTTCATACAAAAATTAATATAATAATCCAATAATACAATTTATCCCTTTAAACAATCATTATAAGTTACCCGGCGTTTCTTTTTCGTCCTAGTATATATACATGAGTATACATTAAAATAATCTCAAAAATAGTTACATAATAATTGTATTTCAGCATATTTTGGTAGCAATGTAGCCTCATATTTCCAGTTTGTGAGGACTCTTCTATATATAAACATAATGATGATGATGTTGATGGTTGGATTTATTATTGTACCTGAGGTAAGTATTGAGTGTCAGTTATTTATCTAACACTTGGTTTATAGGGAATATATTTTAGTTTGTGTTGGAAGCTATAGGCTTAATATAGGCACACTTTCTTATCCATTCCTGGAACCAACCAGTCCTGAGCAATGAGTGTAAAGTTTCTTGCTCAAGGAAACAACGACTTGCCCCTGACAGGCATTGAACCCATGACTAGCAACATTAGATTACTAGTCCAACTTGTTTACCACTCGGCCATGCCGCCACTTTTAAATATTATCTAACACTTGTATATGGTTGAGAGATAAAGGTCACAGACTTTAAACTAAAATTATTAAGCTTATTTTATTCAGAAATATTTATTTATGTTTTAAATTTTAACAAGTAAAAAAATTATATATACCCTTAAAGCCTGCTTTTGGCAACTGAATTTACCCATGGGACTAGTTCAGACCAAGACTAGCTGGCACATCTGTGCAGTATGAGCATAATCTGTACTGTTCGCAAATTCAGTAAGTACATATTATATTGTAATTTTTCCCAAAAATATTATGAATGGTTTTGTCCAGATGTAAAGATGGACAAGTTCATTTAAAATATTTATGGTGGTAACGGATAATCACATGCAAGCCTGTTTCCTAGAGCAACAACTTAAAGGCAACTTATACTCTAACCTGGCTGTAAAAATTCAGTCTTTTTCAATGTTTTGTATTTCAGGTTATTCAGGGTAATTTCCAAACCGATGTGACTTATGGAGGACATTTTGTAAGTTGAACATTGTATATATTCTTACTGTCTATTTGTAGTAGAAATTCATTGCTGTTAAGACAAAATGTGCTTGATTATCTGATGCAATATCAGATATAATTGAGCCGCGTCACGACAAAACCAACATAATGGGTTTGCCACCAGCATGGATCCAGACCAGCCTGCGCATCCGCGCAGTATGATCAGGATCCATGCTGTTTGCTTACAAACTCTATAACAAGTATAGAAACTGATAGCGAACAGCATGGATCCTGATCAGACTGCGCTGATGCGCAGGCTGGTCTTGATCCATGCTGATCGTAAACCCATTATGTTGATTTTGTCATGACGCGGCTCAATTGTCATATACATCCAATAAAATATTATATTTTCATGGTATGAAAAAATTAAATTATTAATCCTCAATGTTCTGACTGCATGCAACTTATATTCTACCTACATGTTTACATCTAGTTCACAAATGCAAACCAAAGTCAGCTGTGTTATCATAGTCTACACTGTTCACTATTCAGTCATGGTATAATTTGAAATTTGACTGATGGACTAGAACATTTTAATATTAGCTTGGTTAGGGTTAAATTATGTTATCCAGTAATATATCACAATATAGAGACCATTTACAGGAAAGGTATTCAAGAAGAGTTTTGATGTATAAGAGCACTGTTTGCTATTCATTCAGTACATATTTGATTTTTTTCCCCAAAAAATGATCAGTTTTGTTTGGATTGAAAGATCGACAATTCCATTTAAGATTTCCGGCTTAGAAAATGTTAATGTTTTCGTTCTAACTAGAACTTCTACTGCTGCATAATGGGTAGAGGCTACCTAAAATCATCTGCCCTCAATAATTTTGGAAAATTCGCACAATCGGTGTTTATATGTGAGACTAATTAACTAACAGCAATGCATTGTTATTTTTTAAATGAATAAAGACTGATAATTTCAGACACAAAACATAGTGCTATAATTTTGAATAAACACTGTTTATTGGGAAATGGAAGAAGGATTAACTTTATTTATTTTCAGGGTGAGCTGTCCAACAGTTTCATGTTTTATGGTTTGTACACGGAGGATCTTGGGCTGTCTTACAATCTACCTCTAGCATACTTCCTGACCTGGTTATCAGCCAATCTTGTTTGTTTCATCTATATCATAGCTATGTAAGTACAGTGGTGTCGTCGAGCACATAGTTATTGTAAAGTATTTTCTATTTGGGATTTTAATAGGTTTTTAAGTGAATTCAAAATTGATGCATCACCTATTGGCAAACCATAACGTCTCTGGAAATGAATGGTAACATGTCTGAGATCTGCACTCTCAGTGCCTGAAAGGCGGGATACACCCTTTTTAGGCCTGGAATACATGTACATACAGATGGAACACTTATAAAAGTGACCGTTGAGCTGCATTGGTTTGATAATTGTAAGAAGAAAGGGACCTAGATAATTTACTGAAGAAACATGGTCATTACTTAAATACACTATGTTCTATTAGACCTACACTTAAAATTATTGCTGGTTATTTTCCCCAAATGATATTCTGATCTATGGATTGAATCAAATATAAACAACAAAGAAAGTTTAAGGATCCCACACATTTTCAATTTTTTAATGAATGTTGAATTTCTACATTTAACGTTATGACCACTGCTGTGAGAATTTAGCCATTTCATTTATGAATGACATCAAGTTTGGGCATAATGTCACTTTAATATAATAATCATGTTGGTGGAATGTATGGAAAAATATAAAATAAATTATGAATAAACTAGAAGTACAACTTAGCTTTAATAACTTTGTTGATGTGCTGCGCCGGGTGCATGTTAACATAGTTATTCAATATAACAGGGAGCATGCGTTAAGCACAAGAATTTAATGAACTTATACTCAAATTGTAGAAAACATTTTATGATTGTTGTACAAATAAAGATATTTAAATTGAATGGAATATGAAGATGCAAGACTCTAAGTCCTAGAACTTTTTGAACAGCCCCCCTTTATAATCTGTTTGACATCTTTATAACAAATAATATACTAAATCACTTTATAAAGTTACAGGTTAGATAAGAATTTAAGATATTAATTGTATTTCAGAATGATAGTGAGGTATCGCAGAAGTAAGTTAGCTGATGACAGAGGAAATGAGTACAAGTTTGCTTGGCGTACTTTCTGCTCCTGGGATCATTCTGTAACTAGTAGACAGGGTGTTATTGACTTTAGGACATCTTTAAAAACTGATATAAAAGTAACCAATATTTTACTATTATATAAATCTTTTGTATTAAAGACTTTACTTTTTGAAGGAATGAAATAAAATATTAAACAGTAATTTTTATGTAGCCCTTGTGCTGAAGTAATTTCAATTATATAAATTATTTAAACATATATGTTTTTCATAATGCACCAGGTAATTGCAACCTAGTAGACCTCCCTATACCTATGGCATGCCAGGTGAATGAGTGAAGTCTTAACCTAAAATTTGTCAAAGCACTACCTCTATACTGCCTGAGCTACCCTCTGAAATGGATGACTCTGTTTTTTTTACCTGTTTGCCCTAAATCTTCCCTATATAAATGGACTTAATGTCTTATGTAACAATTGGCCCTAATTATCTGGTCCCCATGCACAGTTTTGTCTGTTTTAATTCACTTATCAAAGGTATTCTATCAAAACTTTCCTCATGTTTTGTTGATCAAGAACGATTATTTTACAATATCTTGACTCAAGCAGTGAGAATAGTTCAACATTCTGTCCAACTTGCAGCTCTTCATTAGCTTAATGATAATCACAAACTTTTTAACTTAAACTGTAAAATATAATAATGTTAACTTATAATATAAACATTTGCAGGAGATAGTAAGAGAAGAAAAGAGTTCAGTAAGAGTGGATTCTTGTACCAAGTAAGAGTGTTACAAGTGTTTTGTTTCCATTGAAATGAATTATTTTGGTACTTAAAGATCTACTGATATTTGACCCCATCTGATCAATTCATTAGGGGGGAATTTAGGTTTATAACATTAGATTTGTGAGAATGTTATCTATAGTTGTGCACATAATATGCCATGGAGTTATTGCAGGCTCTAATTATTAAGCCTTTTATCTTTCAACACCTCTAAAGAATTATTTTTACCAAGAATTTGGCAACTGTTTGCAGAGAAATAAGTTTGTACTTGAGTATTTGGTAACTGCTTGCCATATGGTTTGTGAAGCAATTAATATCCCTCAATTACTCTAAAAGTTAAAATTTGAAATGATAGAAAGTGTTATGATGGTATACTATGTGGAATTGTTTTGCCATGATTGTCAGGCCTTAGTTTGGTTCATGGTATGCCATATTGTTTGTTTGATTAAGTTTTATGTGACACCGACACAGTATAGGTCATATGGCAACGTTCCAGCTTTACCAGAGGAGGAAGACCTCAGGTGTCCTTCCGTGCATTATTTCAGCCACAAACGGGCACCTGAGTAGAACCACCGAAGTTCCATAAGCTAGCTGGATAGCTTCCTCACATGAAAGAATCCAAAGTCTTTGTGGGGATTCGAATCCACAGCGGTGAGGAGCAAGTAGTGGTATGCCGTATAAAATGGGTACAAAATAGGTAGTAAAAGTCGATCATCATTTCATTTTTAAGCAATTTTAAATTGCTTATAGGAAGCGTTTAATGTAGAAAATCTGATAAATTTTTGCCAGTCAAATATGTTCATTTAAAGGTGATTGTTCTATATTAAGTTCATTTCCAACTAATTTATAAATAACCTACACCTAAATGTCATTTGTTAACTATACTATTAGTTATAAACATTTTTGGCGGATAAATATATGGCCGGATATAATGGTTATAAAGTGATATTACTGAAACCTTTAAGTGAGGGTTATATAGCATATAATCATTTATACAGGGCCATATAATGTGTCAAAGGTTGTTAGAACAAATTTTTAGCTTGACTATTCAATACGAATAAGTAGAGCTATTGTAGTCGCCCGGGCGTCTGCGTAACCATTTATGTTAAAGTTTTTGCAGTACCTCAAATATTTTCAAAGTCCATTGACATATGGCTCTGAAACTTTGCACATTTGTTCACCATCATGACCCCAACCTGTAGACAGGAGGAGGTTACTGTATCAAGCATTTTGACAGAATTATGCCCCTTTTTCAACTTCAATTTACGTTAAAGTTTTTGTAATACCTAAAACATTTTCAAAGTTTATTGACATATGGCTTTGAAACTTTGCACACTTGTTCACCATTATAACCCCAACCTGTAGACAAGAGGAGGTAACTGTATCAAGCATTTTGACAGAATTATGCCCCTTTTTGACTTAGAATTTACATTTAGGTTTGCATACCACCTCAGATATTTTCATATTCTATTGAAACAAGTTTAAATTTTATACTCTTCTTTGAGGGCATTATAGGACTCTCCAAGGCCTATAAATGTAACATGGATTAAAAAAAAATTTTGTCCTTTTGTTATTAACTCAGAAAATTTTACATTATCAAGGCTCTTTTACTATCAAGCTCTAAGAATATCCAAGCGTTGCTGTCCTACTGATAGCTCTTATTAATTCTAAAGGATTGCTTTCTGTTATTCAGATTGAAAATAAATGATTAATTTGCTAGTGTCATGTATATTGACGATACAATATTTTTGTCTATCTAATAAAATGTAATATTACACATCTGCTGTGTGAGTATAAGAATTATGTCTGGGTTTTATTTAAGGTTTAGGAACTATATGGGAAGGATAATCAGTAACCTTATAGTACTGGGTTTACTGGTTGGAAGTGGATTCCTGATATATGAAGTAGCTGACAATGAAGATCTTCTAAAAGACGTTGCTGATTTTGATTTTGTCAGAAAATATCAGGTAATTCTTTGTTTGTTTGTTTTGGGTTTTACGTCACATCGACACAGTATAGGTCATATCGCGACGTTCCAGCTTTACTGGTGGAGGAAGACCTCAGGTGCCCTTCTGTGCATTATTTCAGGCACGAATTGGCACCTGAGTAGAATCACCGACGTTCCGTAAGCTAGCTGGATAGCTTCCTCACATGAAAGAATTCAAAGTCCCTGTCGGGATTCGAACCCACAGCGGTGAGGGGCAAGTGGTTTGAAGTCAACGACCTTAACCACTCGGCCACAGACGTCCCCATCAGGTAATTTACATGAGTACCAAATCTTTAATATAGTAGAAAGAACACTTTTAGCTCTTATATTAAGAAATACATTTAAAAAAAAATTGCATTTTATGTTTTGAAGTATTTTGCATGGCAGACTTTAAGATTTTACAGCATCAAATTCTACAGTTCAATATTAAAACTTGAGGGACCATAAGTGGTCGAGTGGTTAAGGTCATTGACTTAAAATTACTCGCCCCTCACCACTGTGAGTTCTGGTGTTCGAATTTTCCCAGGGACTTTGGATTTTTTCAGTTAAGGAAGCTATCTAACTAGCTTACAAAACTGTTGTTTTCTACTAAGATGCTCAATTGTGCCTGAAATAATGCAAAGAAGAACACGTGAGGCACTAGTAAAACTGGAAAGTCACCATATGACCTATACAGTGTTGTTGCAACAGAAAAAACAACAAACATCAACAAAACAAACCCCAAAGTTTGACTGTTGTTTATCAGTATTACTAACAGAAAAGTTTTGATAGCAATGAAAACAACACTGTTGTATGAATATTGCAGACTCTGTCAGTTTTGAGTCAGTTCAGTAAAGTCTTTTGTAGACAAAAGTAAAACTATGTGATAAACATGTGATTAATTGATGTGTTAAATTAAGTGATATTTTCAGCTTACAGCTACTGTGGCAGGGCTCAAGCTTCTTGTTCCTCTTATATTTGAGCAGTTGGTACGTCTTGAAGGATGGCATCCCAGGATTGAAACCAAAATCACTTTAGCAAGGTAAGACTCAAGTAAATAGAACTCCACTGAGGTCCAAAAACTTAAAAAACATAAAATTTGAAAGTCTTGCATAGTATTACATGTGAAATCAACTGAGACACATAAAATGAAAAAAAGAAAGAAAAAATATCTTTATTTATTGGGGAAAAAAACAACTATTGGAAACAATACAATTTTCAAGGAATATTGGTTAATTAATTATTAGTATGGAAAAGTTCTAAAATGCATTTTATGACATAATTTAAGTTTTAGCCTGCTGACACCCATGAATATACCCATACAACCAGTGCAAACCATGATCAGCCGGTGATTAGGTGCAGCTTTGGTTATATGTGCAAACAACCGTTTATATAAACCTGTCAAAAATCTTTATTTCTAATAAATGGTTTCTGCAAATTTATATATTAATTTTATTTTAAGTAAAGAGAGCAATTATGCAGTAAATATCACAAAATCTTGAAATACATGTATATGGCCTATGTTAATGGTTATTTATTATCTAATTATGCAATTTTGGCCATATATCCTGAAAGCTGTAAAAAAAATCTTATTTCATGACTTAATTTCAGTTCTTACACAACATCAACAAATAAATGCTGCTTGCTTGATATCAAGCTAAATTGTGCCTGATTTGTTTCCGTAATATTTTTTCAGCATGTTACATGTCTTAATATAGATTGTCAATTAATATAGATTGTCAACAGTGATCTTATTGCATATCCACACACACTTTTAGTCCTTCTTTGTGCAATAGGGAAAAATGCGGTTCATGTTAGAATATATCATTTCATGTTAAAGTGTTCTGTAGTTTGGTATGTGGTTAAAATTCATTTTTGTGTTTTCAGGACAACAGTGTTCTATATTGCTAGTTTAATGATATTTGTGACATCACTGTATGATGTCACAGGTGACCTCTCTTCTGATTCAAATCAGGTAAGTTTGTTTTGTAGGGTTGCTAAACACAGTACCTTCGCCACTCACTGCTGTGGGTTTGAATATTGCTTGGAAATTTGAATTATTTTATGAGAGCAAGATATTTAGCAAGCTTACAGAATGTCAGTAGTTCTACTTAGGTGTCAAGTCAAGACCAGAGTAAAGCATTGAAGGTCATATGAGGTATTCCTCTAATCATGGCATTAATTAGAAGCCGTGTTCCAATAGTACAGCTGGAAAGCCACAATATGAATCTTAAATATTTGATGTGACTTACAATCTAATTAATATAAAAGTGTTTTATGGTAGAATATTAACCCATTACCAGATATATACGCCTTTTTCACCCCCCCCCCCCTTTTTGCTTCCTCAAATGGTGAAAAAATGCCTTATTTAGGCCCCAAAACACTTGTTTTTGTTTGAGAAATGTTGTTTAAAAAATTGACAACTTTTTCGGCGCGGCCCCCTATCCAAAAGATACATCAGGGGGTTGCCAGAAGGGGGATGTGCCCCCTTCTGTTTGGGGGGTTTGAAGGGGGGCGGAGTCCCCCTCATCGCCAAGAAAATTTTGGACTTGTGGGAGGCTAAAAATGGCCCCAGGTCGATCATAAGGTAACCAATGCTGAAAAGCCTTTGACTCTATCTTGATCCATTGAGAAGTGGCAGCACTTTGAAATCAATTTTGATGGAAAAAATCAACGCAAAATAGTGATTTTTGGCAATTTTGAGATGTCCCCTAGTTGCCATGGTAACAGGAAATTTCAGACTGAGCATGTTGTTACAAAGGCAATGGTCCAGTCAACATGTGTGCCAAGTTTGACTAGTATTGAAGCAGTTTTTATAGTTTTATAGCAACTTGAACTTGTAACGGGAGACTTTTCAATGAAAACAGCCATTTTTCACAAAATGCTCATTGGGTAATGGGTTAACTGTCTGTGACATACAAATTGTCCCTATTGCTGGTTCTCCAATTGAAAATAAAGATATAAATCAATTAGCATGTCAATGATCATTGCTTGATGGCTAATAATATAATGTGTATTAGAGTAAACATGTAGATGAACCATTGGTACTTTATTTCAACTTCACTGTTTTCATATAATGAACAAATTAAACTGTAAATTGTCAATAAATGGGCACTCAAACTAGGATGGTCACTCTTCAAACTAAGTTTGACTTGTTGTCTATAATTTTGACTTTATTGCCATGGGTAGCAACTAAAGTAAGCTTACATATATCATTATTGTTGGTTATTACCTCCCTTGTTCTGTGATGAGGAAAATGCTGTACCATACTTTACAGTTAACTTGCTGTACTATGAAATTAACTTATCTTGAAAATGGCAGAAAACCATTCAACTTAAAAGGTTTGCATCATAGTCTTGTTCGTGAGTCTTGACAGAAAATTTTGTAGACTAAAAGGAGCGTGGATAGCCAACTTGTTAATGTTGTTGACATCAAACCACTAGTGACTTACCAGTTTGGGTTCAAGTTCCACCAGGGTCTTGGATTCTTGCATGTGAGGAAGCTATCCAGCTAGTTTTTCTCAGTGGTTCTTCTCAGGTGGCAATTTGCACTTTAAATAATGCAGAGGGGTGCCTTAGGTCTTTCTCCTCTTGTAAAGCTGGAAAGTTGTCATTTTTGGTGCGACTTAAGTTAAACTTTATTTCAGGTTGCTGGGACAGGAAACAATACATCATCTTGTTGGGAGAATGAAGTAGGAGAAGAAGTTTTCAAGGTCGTTTTGGTTGACCTTGGCATACTATTTGCTGTCGGTATCCTATTTCATCTACACAGGGCATTGTGGGTAAACTGTACTTGCAAAATGGTTAGTTATTCTTAGTTTTTGATAGTTGATAATTATAAATGTCAATGTTTGAAAGTGGGGTTAACAACATTTTTTAACAACATTATGAAAATATATAAAGCTATAGTATACATGTTTATCTGCTGTTTGAAGTTTACAAATTATTTATTGACAGTTTACAGGGGCGGACTACGGGTCTGACTACCAAGTGTCTGTCTCTCCGAAAGTTTTGTTATGCTTGTTGAAACAGTATTTTTATAGATGATATAAGTCATGGTTTATGTTAATTGGCAGGGCAAATGGCCAGTAGATGACCCCTATTGAATTTGAGGTCAAAGGTCATGTCACAGTTACACATTGTAAAAAACCAACCTTGTCTAATCATAGAACTGAGAAGTAAGGTGCTTTTAATGTGAAACTTTGTAGGGATATAACCCATGACTAATTGATGACACCTGTTCAATTATGTTGTGTATACATTTTCTATTTCAGATAGGATACAGTAAATTTGATGTTGTATCAAGTGTATTAGATGTGGTGTATGGACAATGTTTGGTATGGTTAGGTCTATATTTCTCACCACTTCTAGCTGCTATAAGTGTGCTTAAACTCATCATTGTATTCTACTTTAGATATCTAATAGCAAAGGTGAGTTTTGTATATATTGTGGAAGATTTGTATATATTTTTGAGAATTTGTATATATTTTGGAAGATTTCGGATTACAGTAACTTGTTGGATCATTAAGTGCTATGCACGAACACAAATTTGATACAGATATTTGACATGCATTTAGTTTCATATAACATATACTCATAAAAGTAATTATTAAGCATACTGATTAATTGGTTGAAGCTTTGTAAATAAATCAAAATCTTTACAGCATAATTATGGCCATTGTTTTAAGGTAAATCAACAGTTTTAAGAATGAAATAAAGATATATGACATACATGTACATGTAGTTTCTTATAAATAAAATACAGTATTCAACATTATAATTAAATGGTTGTAGCCTTATGCATATATCAAAATTATCACATGGTAATGGTGCTTGAGTTATTTCAGTGTTTGGTAAAAGGACTGTGACATTTTTAGGAATGCTGTCTATAGAAGTTTGTTTGAATATATCTTTGCATATTTTGTGTAGTAAAATTTGATATTATGCTACTCTTGTTGTTATGTTGTTGTTTTTTTGTTGTTGTTGTTTTTTTACTTCAAAAATATCGGCCTGAAAGCTTTCCCACAAATTGTATTATTTATTATTTTGTCACAGGTTGCTATGGTACCCCCACAACAGTTGTTCCGAGCTTCTAGTACGGGAAACTTCTACCTAGCTTTACTGCTTCTCAACCTGTTTATCAGTTTGTTTCCTATGACATATGCTGTTATAGAGTAAGAAGTATATATTTTACAATGTTAACCTTAAAGGAGCTTGGCTAAAAGAATTGAAATTCATACACAAAATTACTTGTGTACTTTTAATTAAAAAAAAAGTGCAAAGATAATTAAGAAATATTCTCCAAATTAAATCCAAAATTGACCCTTTTTGTGAGATTTTTAGCCATAGATTGAGTTAATAGTATTGCAATTGCTTTCATTTTTATGTCATTTGGCACAATTAGAATGATTATTCTGGGGGGGGGGGGGGGGCAAAAACAACCATAAGCTAAAATTATGAACACAAGTTATCAGTTTAGCCTTTAATGTACAAGTATCTCGAAAAAGTGCTGCTTGTCCCTTCATGTCAAAAATCCTCTGTGGTGTCCCTTTAAACCTGTCACAGTTATGGAATTGACTAGCCCTGATTTGAATTTTGAAGAGTCCAATGATAATGCAAGCATGTTTTAAATTAGGCAACCAACTGTTGGGTAAGTTCAGATGACTATAAGGATGTACAGGCTAGCTTGGCTTTATTAAAGTTGTAGGAAAGTCTTTGGTTCTTTAATTGATAAATCGGTATGGATATATATAATTTTTTAGCTTGACTATCCAAAGAATAAGGATATCTATTGTACTATTCATGATGTGAACGTCACATTTTCGTAAAGCTTTTGCATCCAAGGTGGTATCTCTTAAAGTACTGAAGGGAATGAGTTGCAACTTCACACTTATTTGAGAGCATACTAATAGCTGGTTACTATCAAAGGCCCATAACTCTAACACACATTTTTACAGAATTATTGCCCCTTTTTGAACTTATAATATTTTACAGTATCATGGCTTTTGTTATACTATCATGCACTGAGAATAGTGGAGCATGCTGTCCTACATACATCACTTGTTTTATATTACTGTTCCATTCTTCATCTATGTATGATATATTTATTTAGGCAATTAATTTTGGAGCAATTTCACTTTGTTACAAGTCTGTAAAACCAATCTCTCCTGGTTACTAATTTGTATTTCCATGTCCATTTGTATGATAATGTTACAATGTACTTTTATATAATATATACTAATATATTTTAGGTTTCCACCATCGGCAGACTGTGGACCATTTCAAGGTTATGACAGACCATATAAAGTTATAAACACTACTGATACTATAGGGGAGTTACCGGACTGGCCAAAAGAGGTCTTGTACTATATTGGAACACCAGCTGTACTCTTTCCTATACTTATACTATTGATGTAAGTTTTCCCTACTTTGCTCTTGAAATTAAATTTAAATCTGACATATTACTAAGGGCCACTCTCTGCCTGGGAGTCCTTTTTATGCTCCCAGTAACTTAGCGTTTTTATAAGGTGTTTGATAATTGTTATTATGTAAAATTTACAAATGAATAAAAAAAAAACAAAAAAAAACACTTAATTTACTCAATTTTGTTTCAGATTGCTGGTGGTGTATTTTAAAGTTAAGACTTCATCTTATAAACGACTTATCAGGGAGTTGAGAAGACAACTTATGTTTGTAAGCATTATCTTGATATACCAAAGCTTGTAACCTACTCAGGATGGTTTGTTTTAAAAAAAAAAGAATTAATCACCAGTATTTCCCAGATGATTGTTATCTCTCTTTTATGAAAAATTGGTAAAATAATTTCACCGATATATAAAAACCTAAGATTCTTCATTCCTGAAAAGGTTTCCAAGTGTATAAAAAAAAAAAAACAAGAGATTTCTTTTGGCAGGATAAAAGTGCCAAAATTTGACAAGCTGGTATTTCTTACAGCAACATTTGTGTTTAACTTAATCATACAGTTTTATGTAAATATGTCAACCTGTGACGAAAGTTAATCTTTTGATGTTTTTAAAATTTTAATAAAATGTCTAAACCGTAATGTGGCTAACAAACTGAGTCTGAAACATTTTCATCTTTGCTGTTTTGGACTCACCAGATAATTAACCCCAAGTTAACTATATTTCAATAATGGTCTTTTCCAGCTTTTATTTTGGAATAAGTCATTCCAAGTGTAAGGAATTGCAATATCAAAATATAGTGTGTTATACCGCTATCTCAAGTTGTCGTGATCATTTATATAAAATGCCAAATCTTGTAAGATCTTTGTATATATAGAACTATAATGAATAATACAATATATAAATATATAATGGATAATTTCAGGAACGTAAGGTAGAAAAAAGAAAAATATTCGCAACTGGAAGAGCAATGTCCGGTAAGTTCAAGCTGCTTTTTGACAAAGTTTTCCAGGCTAAAACTGGTTATAAGTTGTTGGGAGTAACCATTTTATTCTGTGCACAACTCCTGCATTTATCAATGGATTTCAAGCAGACATTCACATATTGATTGTCATTAAATGCCATATCACGTGATAGTCACGAGATAAAAATGAATGTGTATTCTTTTGCTTATACAGCCTTTACTGTCTTTCTTATTTTATAGAAACAAGGTACAGGTTTCTTGAGTCGAGGCCACTGGTGCTAAAGGAATTTTTGTTCACACTTTTGCTTTGACAGCCTTCATTTATTAACTGATGTCATTTATATTTGGTTAATAAATACTAGAGGTCTTGTAACTTTGCCTGGAATTAGCTAGGGGTCACTTGAATCAAGGAATGTATTGTTATTAATTATGAAATCAACTTAAAACATATCTTAGTGACAATTTTCTTTCAGTTGTTTCTAAACTTAATATTTAATCTCAAATTAATGTAATGATAACTGTAAAAAAATGAAGAAAACCTTAGACAATTTCAATGAAATAAATTAAGAACACTTTCAACAGTTTTAATGAAATAAATAAGGAAAACCTTGAACAATTTCATATAAATTTAAATTCTGTTGTCTCAAATAAACAAACTATGATTAGTATATTTAAGCCTTATTTTTAGAGATTTATTTATATGTCCTATATTTAAGGTGGCGCTTTGAGTCGGTATTCTTCCCAGGAAAGTATTGGAACACCAGGAATGAAACATCGGAAGGTGTCACAGCAGACTGTTGCTACCACTATAGAGGAGGAACAAGAATTCTAATGAACCTAAAGACATCTTTTTCATTTTTAACATTGAGAGGTATTGAAAAACGATTTTGAACATTGTGTATATGTCATCAATTAATAAAAATAATTGGATAATATATGAGTTTTCACAAATTGTGTTTAACATTTATTGCATGACAATGAACAGTTTCTAATAAACAATTATTGAAAAACACAAACATTTTTGAAACACAAAATGTATTTTCTTCATGCTTATAAAGAGAGCTTTTTGAATTTGACAAAATTCATTTCAGAGTGTTTTTCCATATATTCATCGTGAACAAACTCCACAACGATTTTCCTTGAATTGTATTTTGCATTATTATACATGTATAAACTTGGTTAATTTTATGAAATTATTCAGACAAAAAGATATAAGGATGTAGATAATGCTTTAAAGTGACACATGATAAGTTCTTAAACTCATGATTAAAATAAAAGCTTTATTTGTTTGTAACTAAGTGTCCATTTTGAGAAAATGTCATCAATTTGACTTTATTGTAAATATCAATCTATTCTCAGTTATAAGGATTCCTTGACCATTCCTTAAACTTTGCCTGATTGAATATAATAATGATTTTAACAAATTCGTGAAAAAAAAACATGGGGTCACCATCTTATGATATATTTATTTGCCCTAGAAAGTGACGTTTTACTCTGGTCATTTCTCTCTGTGTCTTTGCAAAACATACACTACTCGTGGAAATGCACACTTTTCGGAATGGGGGATGTTGAAACGCCATTGTCCATCCATCTTTCTGTCCACATCTCAAAATGCAAATGGATTCAGTGTTACGTGTAGTTTATAATGAGTTAATATCAAAATGCTCTAATTGCAACCAATAAATGTGATAATTTTTGTGAATGAATGTCTTAATGTCACACTGCTATAATCAAATGTTATGTAGATGAATATCTCAAAAGGATTTCATTTATTATGAGAGCTGTTGTGCATGGTGCTGTTTACTGAAATTTAATGGGGAAAAACAGGGCTCAATTGTGGTTCATATTTTTATGTACATAATTAATGAAGTAAGTGATTTAATCATGTTAAAGTAATATGGTGCTTCAGATTTATAACTTGCGAAAGCTTCAAAATTCATCTGGCGGAAAGGTTATGAAGAGTATAGCACATTACTCTGGTCCTGAAGCTAAGTCATTGGTGCAATTGCTTTTACGACATCTAGGAAGGCGTTATCTGGCAGGGGCTATGTTTAGGCCCAAAAAAGACAAGGGACAATGATGGGGGGGGGGGGCCAAGGCGGATTTTTTACATTTTTATTTTTTTGCTAAATTAACTTTGAAGTCTGGATATATTATATTTTCCCTGCCAGATTTTTATTTTGTTTCTTTGTTGTTGCTTTACTTTTGTTATATTTGTTAACAAAACTTTATTCTTTCATAGTGGAAAAACTATGGCTTGATGTCTGTTTATGAAGTTAAAAATTAATAAACATATTTATTATTATTCTTGTTCTTGTTATTTAACTAAGTCAGCTAAGCTAAGTTTGTAGCTATTTTAATGCAAATGTTGACCATCATAATTTTTTCTCAACCGTAGTTGGTTCGAATATCACTATGGACAGAGTGGAAACAATCCAACTAGCTCACTGAAAATGTGTGTTTTAACTTTGATGCCCACTCTTAATTTAAATGATACATTGAGGAACCTTCATTGTGTACAATTTATATACAAATATGTAAATGTATACAAATGAATTTGCACATTTACTTTTTTCCAACACATCAAAACAATCTCATTTGTTAGTGTATAAGAAAAACAGTGAAAACTGAGTCGCAGTGATATTTCTTTAAATTCTTGTGTGTATATATATGCACGTTACTTAATGATTGGTATTCAATAAAACAATTTAGGTTTCAGCTTTAAAGTCAATAAACTGGATAGGAACAAAACGGTTGAAATCGGCGGGAAAACACACAAACAAATGTGGTCGATGCTTTTGTTTGAAAACAAAAACTTGTCTCAATAGACCAGGAGTCTCAACGTTTTATCAACAATGATTTAATCGGTGCCAGTATAAAAGTTGCTTCATTTTATTAACATTTTACGTTAAAAATATTGTTACTGTTCTTATTTTCTTTATCTCTTTTCTCTTTTTAAACTGTGATAATTCAATCGAAAAATTGGGTTAACTGAATCGTTTACATGTATTTATAAATAAATATAAAAAGTTGTAACAAAAAAAATCGTTTATCTGTAAAGATAAGCAAGCCTGTCTAATTTGAGCTATATCACATCTGAAAGTTAACTCGCCGAGAATTTCTATCGCCTACCTTTAACGATAAGCAGAAGTATCCCATCGATAACGTAGAGAGATAGGCCAGTTTCATTTTACCGTCTTACACGCTAGAGGCAGCATCTTCATCTTTCACAAAGTGAATCTTTTTTGGAATCTTTTTAATAATAAT